TTTTCATGAACACTAATATATTATATATATATATAATTATATATTGAATATTTTGAATATATCATTTTCTTATTGTCTGACATTATGGTTAATGAAAATTAAATAAAATGCAGTTTTGGGGGTACTGGAGAGATGGCTCAGTGGTTAGGAGCACTGACTGCTCTTTCAGAGTACCCAAGTTTGATTCCTGCACTGACATGATGGCTAACAACTGTCAGTAACTTCAGTCAGGCTTTGCATGACATAAGTGCACTTGCATACATGAAGGCAAAACACTTATACACATAAAATAAAAATAAATAAATCAAGCCAGGCATGGTGTTACACATCTTTAATCCCAGCACTCAGGAGGTAGAGGCAAGCAGATCTCTGAGTTCCAGGCAGGTCTAGTCTACATAGTGAGTTCCAGGCCAGTTGGGGCTAAAGGGAGACCCTGCCTCAGAAAGACCAAAACAATAAGATTAAATAAATAAATAAATAAATAAAATTTTTTTAAATGTAGCACTCAGGCTGAGATAGGCAGATCTTTGTGAATTCAAGGCCAACCAGGCCTACATAGTGAGAGCTTATCTCAAAAAAACCCAAAACCAACAAACCAAAATTCAGTCTCTGTCCTCTAAATTTCATAATCTATTTTGAAAAAAAAAAGGCTATTTCTGAATAGGCACAGTAGCTGTAAAATATGACCCAGTACATATTAATGTACATATGTACATTGTTATCTAATACAAATGTCCCATTAAGCAATTGACCTTTATTTTGTATAGCAGACTCTTTGTATGTTCATTTTGTTTTTTTTAAAAATATGTGTCAGCCCGGTGTGGTGGTGCATGCCTGTAGTCCCAGCACTTGGGAGGCAGAGGCAGGTGGATCTCTGTGAATTCAAGGCCAGCCTGGTCTACATAGTGAGTTCCAGGACATCTGGGACCACAGGGAGACCCTGCTTCAAAAAAAGGACCAAAAAAAAATTATGTTTATGAGTGTATTGCCTGCATGTGTGCAAGTGCACACAGTGCCTGCCTACAGATCCTCTGGAGCTGGAGTTATGGATGTTGTTAGCTGCCATATGGATGCTGGGAATTGAACCCAGGTCCTCTGCAAGAGCAGTTAGTGCTCCTTTTTTTTTTTTTTTTCAAGAATTCTGGTATTTATTTGGGGATGGAGAGATGGCTCAGCAGTTAAGAGCACTGACTGCTCTTGCAGAAGTGGCAATAGATAGAATCATACCAGAGAAGATTCCTGTTCAAAGAAGTCTACTACCAGAGGTAGAGTGGGATGTTTCATAACTACAGTCCTGTCCACCAATCACCAAAACATTCATAGACAAGAAAGGAAAGTTTTGAGGGCTGGAGTGATGTCTCACCAGTTAAGAGCACTGGCTGTTCTTGCAGAGGACCCGGGTTTGATTCCCAGCACCCTCACGGAAGCTAACAACTATCTGTAACTCCAGTTCCAGGAGAAAGAATTCAATACCTTCTTCTGACCTCTGCCAGCATTTCATGACACAGGTGTAATATACACATGCAGGCAATACACTTATACACTCAAATAATAAATAAAATATTAAAAAGAAAAGAAACGAATTCTGGTATTTGATTCATAGCCCACTTAAGGCTAGACAAGTTTTTCATTATTAACAAAACTGTTGTAGAGGGTATTATTTTTTCCATTTTATATGTATCTTCACTATTGTACTCTGAAAACACTAACTGAAGAGATTGAATAAAGAAATAAGCAGCTGATTACGTTTGCATTTGTGGTATCATTATTTTTAATTTACTCACAGAGCATTGCCTACGGCTTATTCCTCTACAACACTCTAAGGTGGCCAGTTTTGTTAGAGATCAAAATCTCTCAAATGTATGGACAGTCGAATATGCCCTTGAATTATTATTTATTGGTGGCCTAGTTCCAGAGGCTGTGTGGTTGGCCCATAAGCTTGGAGACTGGAAGACATCTGTTTCAATTGGTGTGGCCTTCCAGTTATTCCATAAACATGATTGCAATTCTGTGAGGTATGAATTTTTTCATTATATGTATTTATCTATTTTGTGTGTGTATTTGTTTGAGTGTGTGCATGCCACAGCACTCATGTGGAGGTCAATGGACAAGTTGTGAGAGTCGGCTCTCTCCTTCCATCACATGTGTCCTAGGCAGTGAACGCAGGTTGTCAGCCTTGACAGCAAGTACTTTTACCAGCCCAAGGTATGGATTTTTATATAAGCTTAAGATATGACCATCTTAAGTACTTTATTTTCTTCTTGGTACTTTATGGAAGTCTTTGTTCTGCATTATCTGGTCCAGCCTTTTTTAGTGTTCTTCTTCTAGTTGCTGCAGTGTGGTAGTCACTAGCCACAGTAACTGTTAAGCTTTTGAAATGTGGTTAGTGAGACCAAGGAA